TTACCACCTCTCCTGTCCTGTCAGCGTGACAGCTCGAGAGGAGAGAAATGCCGATAACCGGCATTTCCCTGTTTACATGCGATCAGCTGTGATTGGACACAGCTGATCACATGACCGAGCCAACATCTTCGGCTCTTTTCGTGGATCGGTGATCCGCTGTGTCCACACCGCCGATCGCCGCACGCTCCTGGAGCCACGCATGTGCAGTGAGAATGGGAGGATATCATATGACTCCTCCCAGAACGAGAGAACAGCCCGTCATTGGACTATATGGTGGGCGGGAGGCGGTTAATAGCAAAAAGTCCAAAATATTTGTTTTTTTTTCCTCAAAATTGTCAGTCTTTTTTTGCTTATAGCGCAAAAGAAAAAAAAACACACACAGGCAATTTTAAAAAATTTTTTATTGGACATGTTTAATAGCAAAAACTCACAAATATATATATATATTTTTTCACAATTGTTGGGTCTTTTTAATGCAAAAAAAATAAAAAAACGCAGAGGTGATCAAATACCACCGAAAGAAAGCTCTATTCCTGGAAAAAAAAGAACGTAAATTTCATTTGGGTGCAGCGTTGCACGACCGCGCAATTGTCAGTTAAAGTAACGTGGCACCGTAACGCAAAAAATTGCCTGGTCACGAGGAGGGGGGGCGGGGGAATCCTCTGGAGGGGATGGGGTTAAAGATACAAAAATCCTATGATACCCCCCTTGGTGGGAGTGGAGGTGACCCCTCTATGAGGACATACAGTCCATACACACCCAGCACAAAGCCGGGGTTACACTACCAGACGCTTCTCGGGGCTGCAGTTCCTCTGAGCTCCACAAGGTGGGGATCTCACTTCCACCCAGACAGGAAGTCTCTATGGAAGACAGGAAGTGATGTCAGCTACAGACAGGAAGTGATGTCAGGTATAAATAGGCAGTTCTGAGAGATGAGTCGGGAGGAAGTAGAGAGGAGGCGTTGGTGGAAGTAAAAAGGAGACGTTGCTGGAAGGAGAGAGGAGATGTGGCTGGAAATAGAGAGGTGAGTTGGGAGGAAGTAGAGAGGAGACGTTGCTGGAAGTAGAGAGGAGACGTTGCTGGAAGTAGAGAGGAGACATTGCTGGAAGTAGAGAGGTGAGTCGGGGGAGGAAGTATAGAGGAGACGTTGGTAGAAGTGGCAGCAGAGGAGGTAATAAGAAATAATTTGATCATATCGCCCGTTACAACCCCTAAGCAAGAACCAAACTGGTCTGTCCCCAACCGTCCCTCGTCCAGCTGTGTCTGGCTATGTGGCCACCATCAAGGCAGTGTATGGAAACCATGGCTCCTATGGAGAAGGTCTTCAGACCCAACAACCCACCTAACTGCCGTACCTGAGTGTACCGCTCGGAATACATGGCTCTATCATATTTGGCTATACACCAGTGGAACATAAGGAATACTTTTATTGGGAGACCAAAGAGTTAGAGGCCCCCCAAAACCAAAGCGAACACTAACCTGATTGTGTCTCTGTGTGTAATCCCACTGGGGGGCTGTTCATCCCCAATAGAAACCCTCATATTACCCCCTCCCCCCCCATCCTAATATTGTACAACCAGTACAGTCCAGATCATTCTCTGTTATCAATTATTGGTCTACAGGAAACCTGTATAGATCACATGACCAATGAGGATGGAGAAGGACCGGAGTCACATGACTGAGAGGATACTAAACCTCACCCTGGAGATCATCTACCTGCTGACCGGAGAGGTGAGGAGGATTCTGGGAGGTCACATGACATCACTCTTATCTCTATTAATAAAACACAGACCCGACTGGAGAGGTGAGGAGGATTCTGGGAGTCTAACATGATATTCCTATTGGTTCCCCAATACAGAGATTTCCTCCTCTGAAGTCAGGTGACGCTATGACCATCACAGTGCCTCCATGTGACTCCCTAAACCCTGAGAGACACAACATGCAGAAGATTCTAGAAGTCACCAAGAAGATGATGGAGCTGCTGACAGGAGAGGTGAGCGGTGCTGGGAATTCTGGGACATTCTCCAGTAACAGACAAGGGATGTGTCTGGATGGTGACTGTATCATTGTGTGTGTCAGGTCGATGAATGACAATTATTGGTATGATGATTTATACACAGAATGTTTTTTTTATATATTCAGATTGGAAACCTCGGAGAATATATTGTTGTCAAAGAGGAGGATGAGGCGTTCGGTGTGATGATGGAGATTTCTGAAGAACAAAGGGACCTCTACAAGAACTTTACGATGGAGCCACCTAGTAATGGGAACCCACCAGAGAGATGTCCCCGTCCTCTGTATTCCTGGGATTCCACACAGAAAGGTCACACCATCCCTCACCATCATCGGGTAGATGAGGAACAATCACTGATAGTATCATTAGGATCTGTACATTATCTGCATTGTTACCATTGATGTCATTTTTATTATATATTCAGAGTGGAAACCTGAGAGATTCTACAGTTGATGGTCAGGAACAGATAACAGAGGAGGATGATGAGGATGGGGTGATGGAGGAGTCAGAGATTCCAGAAGGACACAAAGATCTGTACCAGGACACCATAGTGGAGTTATCCAGCTACAGGAACCCACCAGAGAGATGTCCCCGTCCTCTGTATTCCCGGGATTCCACACAGGAAGGTCACACCATCCCTCACCATCATCAGTTAGATAGATCCAATAATGGGAACTCACCAGAGAGATGTCCCCATCCTCTGTATTCCCGGGATTCCACACAGGAAGGTCACACCATCCCTCACCATCATCAGGTAGATAGATCCAATCATGGGAACCCACCAGAGCGATGTCCCCGTCCTCTGTATTCCCAGGATTCCACACCGGAAGATCACAACTATGCACAACATTATCAGGTAGATGATTACCAGTTATTGGTAGTTATATTTTATACACAGCATGCTTGTTACAACAAATATTTTATTATATATTCAGAGTGGAATCCTCGGGGATGACAATATTATTATTATTAAAGAAGAGTATAAAGAGGAGGATGAGGAGTATGGAGTGATGGAGGAGTTTTCTGAAGGACACAAGGACATGATGGAGCCACCTAATACCAGGAACCCCCCAGAGAGATGTCCCCGTCCTCTGTATTCCCGGGATTCCACACAGGAAGGTCACACCATCCCTCACCATCATCAGGTAAGTGGAGTTGAGGGTCAGGAACATAAAGTGATGGAACACTCTGACATGTGGAGACGATGTGTGGACCCTACAAGATGAGATGTTCTATGTGATCTCACATCATAAATCCTTCTGTGTTACAGATGTTATTTTCTGCCATTCTGTTGGTTTAGGGTGAAGATCTGATGGACATGAAAGTTGAGGGTGAAGTAGAAGAGACGTATGTGAGGGATGATCAGCAATATACGGAGGAGGCTGGAATGAGGAGGACATTCATAGTGGAGGACACTCCTACAGAGATCAGCACAGGTGACCAGAATATATTCTTCTCTTATCTCTGCTCTGTTACCACCCCCCCCTCCAGCCGACATTGGTTCCTGCTCCTCTGACAAAGCGGTGTAAATGTAGAATTGATCTGGGAGGACCAAAGGTTCTTTGAAGAGGGGAAGAGTCCTAACTGGTTGGGACATCTACAGAGAACATCTGCTCCCGCCTATCTCCCTGATCCAGATGGAATCTTGATGGAAGTGAACTAACCCTCTCCTATCTATTGATGATGTTTTTCTATTTTTCCAGGACCCGCCATGGAGAAACCCTCAAAGGATCATCTCACTTTATCTCCACGTTGTAAAATGGAAGATGAGGACATCACAGGAGATTGTGCCGGAGAAAAGACAATGAGCTCCACTATGGATGGTGGACTTCCCAGTGTGGAGAGACCATGGATTCCGTCGGACTCTGAGCAACCTCCTACTGTGGGGGATGGGGCTGGGGTTTCATGTGCCGGAGAAAAGACAATGAGGTCCACTATAGAAGGTGGACTTCCCAGTGTGGAGAGACCATGGAATCCCTCGGACTCCGGGCAACCTCATCCTGTGGGGGATGGGGCCGGGATTCAGGAGGAGACATTTTCCTGCCCTGAGTGCGGGAAATGTTTTTTAGAGAAGTTCTATCTTACCAGGCATAAAATATCTCACACAAGCGAGAAGCCATATGTCTGCCTCAAGTGCGGAAAACGTTATAAAAGGAAATCAGACCTTGTTATACATCAGAGATTTCACACGGGTGAGAAACTACATTCCTGCCCTGAGTGCGGGAAATGTTTCTCACGGAACTCAGAACTTGTGGCACACCAAAGATCTCACGTAGGGGAAATCCCATATTCCTGCAAAGATTGCGGAAAAACATTTTCACGGAGAAATGGTCTTTTCAGACACCAGAGGTTGCACACGGGGGAGAAGTTACATATCTGCCCTGACTGCGGGAAATGTTTTCCATCAAAGTCTGATCTGGTCATACATCAGAGATCCCACACAGGTGAGAAGCCGTATTCCTGTCCTGAGTGCGGGAAATGTTTTGCACAAAAGTCCCATCTTTCCATACATCATAGATCTCACACGGGGGAGAAGCCGTATTCCTGCCCTGAGTGCGGGAAACGTTTCTCACAGAATTCCAATCTTACTAAACATCAGTTATGCCACACGCGGGGAAAACGTTCTGATCTCGAAAATGGGAAAAGTAAGCCACAGAAACTTGTTCACCCATTGGAGAAGCGGTATAGTTGCTCTGAGTGCGGAAAGTGTTACAGACGGAAATCGGACCTCGATCGGCATCAAAGATCTCACACAGGAGTGAAACCGTATTCCTGCCCTGAGTGCGGGAAATGCTATTCAGAGAAGTCCAGTCTTACTACGCATCAGACATGCCACACACAGGAACTTCCGTATTCCTGTCCTGAGTGCGGGAAATGTTTTGCACTTAAGTCTTATCTTACCAAACATCAGAGAACACATATAAAGGAGAAGACTCATGCCTGCTCTGAGTGCGGGAAATGTTTTTCTAGGAAGTTTTTGCTTAGCATGCATCAGAAAATTCACACGGGCGAGAAGCCGTATCCCTGCCCTGATTGCGGAAAATGTTACACACGAAAATTTGACCTTGTTGTACATCAAAGATCTCACACAGGAGAAAAGCCGTATTCCTGCCCTGAGTGCGGGAAAAGTTTTTCACGGAAGTCCGGTCTTGCTGATCATCAGATCTGCCACATGCAGGAAAGGCTTTATTCCTGTTCTGAGTGCGGGAAATGTTTTAAACAGAAGTCTTGTCTTACCAAACATCAGAGAACCCACATAGGGGAGAAGCTGCATCCCTGCGCCGAGTGCGGGAAATGTTTTACACGGAAATCAGTCCTTGTTATACATCAAAGATCTCACACGGGGGAGAAGCCGTTTTCCTGCCCTGAGTGCAGGAAATGTTTTTCACACAAGTCCCATCTTTACGTACATCAGAGATCTCACACGGGCGAGAAGCCGTATCCCTGCCCCGAGTGCGGGAAATGTTTTGCACAGACGTCCACTCTTAGTGCACATCAGAGGATTCACACGGGTGAGAAGTCTTATTTTCTGCCCTGAGTGTGGGAAATGTTTTACTCAGAAGTCCCATCTTAGCGCACATCAGAGGAAGATACACGGGTGAGGGGCCGTATTTCCGAGCGGAGTGCGGGAAATGTTTTTCACAGAGGTCTCGTCTTGCTGAACACCAGGTGCTGCAAAAGCCGCATCATGACGAGAGAGAGGACGAAATTTATACATTTTTGGAAACCTACAGAAACAGGTCGAATGTAAAAGAAATGTGACGGTCCTGAGCGGAGCTCGGTGGGGTTTACCTGTCACAGTTTGTGGTTTAATGCATCTCGGTCCTGGCTGGAACGCAGGGTTCACCTGTGAGATGAGTCCCACCAGGCTTCTGTTAATGTTCTTGAAGGAACTTTAGGATGCTTCTTCCCTCATAAAAAAACAAAAAACAAAATAAACTTTAGTTCTTCCCCCAAAAACTCTACAATACACCAAATATTCACTGACGATGCGTGATCCCACGTGTGCCCAAACCTCAGAATATCATGGGGATAGTGCACGGGTCACGGACTTGGGGCTGCATGAGAACCATTGCTTGGAGAACTCTGTGGTTTCAAGTTATCCCGAAGGAGATGGTCACTAGTTGACTTTTATGACCATCCGGGCTTCTATCTCGCCTGGGCCCTCCATCGGTGCTTTACCGGGTCCTAGCCACGTTTGCATGACATTTGAAACTAGGACAAGTCCTTTACTAGTAGTCACTTTGAAGGTCCTGCCACGTTACCGTTTTGGACCATGTTCTTCTTTTGGTGGGTCAGGGGCCGGGGTGGTTGCTGAGAGGGAGCTTGGGCAACCAGTACCCAACGAGCACCAGGACATCCATTTGCTCCAACCTTCCATGGTATCTAGAATGCTCAGTGAACATCAAACCCAGGATAAAAGTTCTGTAAATATTAGCGTGTGCGTTTCACCACCATAGGCTTTGTTTCGAGACCATGTTCTTCTTTTGATGGGACAGGGGCCGGGGTGATTGCTGAGAGGGAACTTGCTTGGGAAGCTCGGATTTTCAATGTTACCTCTCACCAGGGTTTGGTAACCATGGTTATGGTTCCTCTACGAATGGCACCCTGGGTATCTTTAACCATTCACTCAGGCCAATCTAGCATAAATGATGTCTTCTTCCCACCAGGCTATCTTTAACCAGCTGTCACTCCGGCCCCATCCATGGAACATGTTGCTTTTTGTACCATATCAGCTGGGCATCTGGGGCTATCGAATGGACAAACCATTTCCCTACAAAGACCACCACTTCTCAACGAAGGTACGGAAGAGCCTTACTAAGCAGCAAATGTTCCTCCAATACAGTCAGGTCCATAAATAGGCATAAAGAGGCATCGGGAAATGTCTATCTGTCTGCAGGACACCGGGGAGATACGGGAAATCTACAGTCAGGTCAATAAATATTGGGACATCGGCACAATTCTAACATTTTTGGCTCTATACACCACCACAATGGATTTGAAATGAAACGAACAAGATGTGCTTTAACTGCAGACTGTCAACTTTAATTTAGGGTATTTACATCCAAATCAGGTGAACGGTGTAGGAATTACAACAGTTTGCATGTGTGCCTCCCACTTGTTAAGGGGCCAAAAGTAATGGGACAGAATAATAATCATAAATCAAACTTTCACTTTTTAATACTTGGTTGCAAATCCTTTGCAGTCAATTACAGCCTGAAGTCTGGAACGCATAGACATCACCAGACGCTGGCTTTCATCCCTGGTGATGCTCTGCCAGGCCTCTACTGCAACTGTCTTCAGTTTCTGCTTGTTCTTGGGGCATTTTCCCTTCAGTTTTGTCTTCAGCAAGTGAAATGCATACTCAATCGGATTCAGGTCAGGCGATTGACTTGGCCATTGCATAACATTCCACTTCTACCCTTCAAAAAACTCTTTGGCTGCTTTTGCAGTCTGCTTACCCAGTACCCAGCGAGCACCAGGACATCCATTTGCTACAAACATCCATGGTATCTATCCCGGGTTTGATGTTCACTGAGCATTCTAGATACCATGGATGGTTGGAGCAAATGGATGTCCTGGTGCTCGTTGGGTACTGGTTGCTCTACGTAATAAACAGTCACACCTACAAATATATTGGAGGAACATTTTCTGCTTAGTATGGCTCTTCTGTACCTTCGTTGAGAAGTGGTGGACTTTGTAGGGAAATGGTTTGTCTATTTGATAGCCCCGTATGCCCAGCTGATGTGGTCCAAAAAGAGACATGTTCCATGGAGGGGGCTGGAGTGACAGCTGGTTAAAGCTACCCGGGCGCCATTCGTAGAGGAACTGGGCTCCAGCTCCATAGCCATGGTTACCAAACTCTGGTGAGAGGTAACACTGAAATTCTGAGGTTCCCAAGCAAGCTCCCTTTCAGCAACCACCCCGACCCCTGTCCCACCAAAAGAAGAACATGGTCTCAAAACAAAGCCTATGGTGGTGAAACACACATGCTAATATTTATAGAACGTTGATCCTGGGTTTTATGTTCACTGAGCATTCTAAACGTTCTGTAAATATTAGCGTGTGCGTTTCACCACCATAGGCTTTGTTTTGAGACCATGTTCTTCTTTTGATGGCACAGGGGCTGGAGTGGTTGCTAAGAGGGAGCTTGCTTGGGAACCTTGGAATTTCAGTGTTACCTGTTACCAGGGTTTGGAAACCACAGCTGTGGAGCTGGAGCCTGGTTCCTCTATGAATGGCGCCCTGGGTATCTTTAACCATTCATTCAAGCCAATCTCTGGCGTAAATGATGTCTTCTTCCCACCAGGCTATCTTTAACCAGCTGTCACTCCAGCCCCCTCTGTGGAACATGTCTTTTTGGACCATATCAGCTGGGCAGCCGGGGCTATCGAATGGATAAACCATTTCCCTACAAAGTCCACCACTTCTTAACGAATGTATGGAAGAGCCGTACTAAGCAGCAAATGTTCCTCCAATATAGTTGTAGGTGTGACTGTTTATTACGTAGAGCAACCAGTATCCAACAAGCAACAGGACATCTATTTGCTTCAACCTTCCATGGTATCTAGAATGCTCAGTGAACATCAAAAACATTTGTAAAGGGGACATGTGTTATGGGCACTTCCCCCTAGCCACCCCCATCTCTAGATGAAGCCTAGTTGGTGAAAACGGCGTTGATTCTTCTTGTGGGGACATGCTGTACACTGTCCGTGGTTCAATAAAGTTTTTTCAAAGACATCATCTGTGTACGGCCTGCTTTCTATCACATGAGTCCCTTGTTTTCCACATTCTGCATGTCTTTCTGACCTTCTAGGCCACTTCCTCACTGGCTGGACTCAAACTTCAAAAATGGCTCCTGGACCATAGAGGTTCTAGTGGACCTATTAGAAGACAGGACGGCAATGGAAAGGTTACTTTCCTACTCCATCAGTCACTAGTAATAATGTACAGTGTTAATGGGATTAGAGTGACTCCACAATCATGGCTTAGTCATAGTCCCCTAGGACCAGTGGTGGTCAACCAAGAAGGCCACACTTTTTTTTTTTTGTGCATTGAGGTGTATTGCTCCAACATAGGCAACCCCTTCAAAATGAGCGGGCTTTAACGCACCTCAACACCTGGAAATTTTGGGGCTGCTGCATGCTTTGCAAAGTACCCCAATGCACACCAAAGAGAAATTTGGATTTATCCCCCAGCATTGGTGACTGAAATAATAACCTCCAACGCCAGCGACTGCAATAATAACCCCCAACATTGGTGTCAAAGGATGCAATAATAACACCCAATTTTGGTATCAGTGGACACAAAAACCTCCAATATTGGTGTCAGTGGATATTAAAAAAAAATCCCCAGCATTGGTGCAAGTTGATGCAATAACAACCACAGCATTAGTGTCAGGGATTACAAAAATAACCCCCAACATTAGTATCAGTGACTGCAATAATAACCCCCAGCATTGGTGTCAATGGATGCAATACTAACACCCAACTTTGGTATCGGTGGACACAAAAAACCTCCAGTATTAGTGTCAGTTGACATGAAAAAAATTTCCCAGCATTGGTACAAGTTGATGCAATAACAACCACAGCATTGGTGTCAGTGATTACAAAAAATAACCCCCAACATTAGTATCGGTGACTGCAATAATAACCCCCCAACATTGGTGTCAATGGATGCAATAACAACCCCCAGCAATGGTGTCAGTGATTGCAATAATAACCCCCAGCATTGGTATCAGTGACTGCAATAATAACCCCCAGCACTGGTGTCAATGGATGCAATAATAACCCCCAGCATTGGTGACAGTGATTGCAATAATAACCCCCAGCACTGGTGTCAATGGATGCAATAATAACCCCTAGCATTGGTGTTAGTGAATGCAATAGTAACCCCCAGCATTGGTCTAGTGGATGCAATAATAACCCCCAGCATTGGTGTCAGTGATTGCAATAATAACCCCCAGCATTGGTGTCAGTGACTGCACTAATAACTCCCAGCATTGGTGTAGTTTATGCAATAATAACCCCCAGCATTGGTGTCAGTGACTACAATAATAACCCCCAGCACTGGTGTAAATGGATACACTAATAACCCCCAGCATTGGTGTCAGTGACTGCAATAATAACCCCCAACATTGGTGTCAATGGATGCAATATTAACCCCCAGCATTGGTGACAGTGACTGCAATAATAACCCCCAGTACTGGTGTCAATAGATGCAATAATAACCCCCAGCATTGGTGTCAGTGACTGCAACAATAACCCCCAGCATTGGCATCAATGGACACAAAAAAACAGTATTGGTTTTCACTGGCAGAGTGGTTTATACTTCCTTCTAAATGTAAGACTTACCTTCGAAGGAGCTGCTGTTTCCCTGTGACACCTGTTCCGAGTGCCAATGACTCTCCAGACAGCACCACGCTCTCTGACACACCAGGGCTGGAGGGCGGACATTTATTGCAACAATGCATAATTATTCAACCAAATAATGGAAAATAAACGCTTCAATAAGTATGT